GTATGAGCCTCTAATAAAATGATTAAAAAAAAAGAGAGTGCAACATTCACCAAACACGTACAAGAGACCACCACCCAGAACAACTCCATCCAGAGACCATCAAAGAGAAGAGTCCCCAAGATAACACTGGCTCAATGATGGAAAGAAGGCAAGAATGAATCACAAACACAACATATGCACAACCCACGGAAAAGAAATGGAGATAGGAAAATACCCAACACAAGAGGAAAAAAATTACATCACAGAGTCCACAGATAGATGTAATAACCTTGAATATCAATAGAATTAACTCAGGCCTAAAGAGACAAAGATGAACAGATTTGCTTAGAAAACACAACCCCTTGATGTGCTGCCTGCAGGAGACACACCTCAAGATTACAGAGAAAAGTAGGCTGAGAATCAAAGGCTGAAGAAAAACATTCCAAGCAAATAGCAATTTTAAAAAAGCAGGAGTTGCGATCTTAATCTCTGATAAAATTGATCTCAAAGTGCAAACCATAAAAAGAGATAAGGAGGGACACCATATAGGACTCAAGGCAACCATAGATCAAGAACCACTAAGCACTCTAAACATTTACTCGCCGAACAAGCGTTCAGTGAAATGTCAATTAAACATTCCAAAAGATGAAATAAGAAATCACAACATCAACAATTATAGTAGGTGACTTCAATAAACTGCTCTCCAAGAAAGATCTATCGCTGGGACAGAAACTCAACAAGGAAGCTAAAGATCTCAACACTGCAATTAGATGATTTGAGCTGATAAATATCTACAGAGCTCTCCACCTAAATACAAAAAAATTCACATTCTTTTCAAGCCTACATGGCACATATTCGAAGACAGACCACATGCTGTGGCATAAGTCAGATCTGCATAAATTTAAGCACATTGATATCACACAGACCTCTCTCTATAACCACTGTGCCAGAAGGCTGGAAATCAGCAAAAGGAAGATGAAGAAAACAAGGGTAAACAATTGGAGGATGAATAACTCTCTATTGTAAAAGGAGTGTGCACTGTCCCAGATTAGAGATGAAATTAGGGAATTTCTAGAAACCAATGATGAGAATGAGAACACAACATACCAAAACATATGGGGCACAGCAAAGGCAGTCATCAGAGGAAGTTTCATAGCAATGCATGCACACATAAAAAAGGAAGAGACTTATGATTCATATGCTGGCACAAAATTTACAGCAACTAGAGAAGAGTCAACAAGACAATACAACTAATAGCAAAAGAAAAGAAATAATAAAAATCAGGGCTGGGATTCAGGAGAGAGAAACTAAGAAAACTATGGAAAAAAATTTATGCTATTAAAAGTTGGTTCTTTGAAAGGATAAACAGAATCGATAGACCTCTGGCTAACATAACCAAAGAAAGGAAGAAACAACTTTTGATAGCAAGGATGGGGGATAAAAGAGGGGACATTACAAGAGACCCCAGTGAAATCATAAGGATAATTACACAGTACTATGAAGGACTGTATTCCAAAGAATTAAAAAACTTGGAAGACATGGAAAAATTCTTGGAAAAACAATCCTTCCTTAGACTACCCCCTATGGGCGTCAAGAATTTCAACAGACCCATATCAATAGATGAAAGAGACAAGTTTATCAAGGGATTACCAACAAAATATCAGGTAAATTAC